GCAGTTAAGTTTGGGGGGAGTCAAAAGTTACACAGGGGTATTCAACCGTGTGGGGGCTTGGCGCTCATAATCACCACGTTGTTTAAAGGGCCAACTGTAACAGTATCTCCACCTGCCCTCAAACGTGTCTAGACTCGAAGTCTGGGGCCTCTCAGGAACAACCTTATGTGGCTTGATGAGCTGGGGCTGGGGTGACCATGAGGCTGAGCAGAGGAGGGGGGGTATCTTCTCCACATGTGTACTTCCAACACAAGGTTCCAGGTGCCTTCATTTCGTGAGCCCTTCTAGAATCCCATGGGACACACCAGATGCTTCACATCTGGGCCCTTCTACACCCCTCCCTGCCCCGCTGTCAGCTACTGCTCCTCATTTATCTTCCTGTTTTCCAAAATGTTGATAACGTCTCTTATCTGCTGCCACTTCCTCTTACAGTCTTTCTGTTCGTGTGAATTGTAACTTTAAAAAGTAAAGTTTCTGTAAAGTTAGAGTGAAAACAAGTGACTGTGTTCAACCCATGGTGTTACATGGAAGATCTGTATCAATTTAAACTACTTTGGTGTCATTACGGCAGCCTTCATCACATTCCCAGTTTTGATACAAGATTGAAGTAACCAAGAAGCTGAAATATAAATAAAACATCTCTGAATAATAAATGTTGTACATGATTATTTAAAGACGATTTTGATCAATCTGAATCTTGACTGAATAAAACTGCTCTACTTTCTCAGTGTTGTCAACCCAAACAAATTATTTATCCTACAACCAAGAATTAATCAACTATATGTATTTAGGTATATATGTATGTGTGTGTCTGTGTGTGTATAGCTTGACTACATATATTGCTTCAAAAACAATTTCTTTGAAAAAAAGACTTCATCCTTTTATACGCTTATTAAAATAGGTTAAAGGTTTCAGAAAGATGACAGGTTATAAATAGTATTGAGCAATGTTTCATACTCAACATTTCCACTATTTTATTTAGAAAGTTAACTAGAACTGAGAATTATGAGTGATTCTGTGAGTTAAATGTGCAAGGCTTTTATTTGGCCCTTAAAACAAAACAAAACTGTCTCTTATCTTCCATAACCCTGCAAGAACGGATCATTATCTCTACAGATAGGGAAGCCAAAGATCAGTCATGTGCAAAAGGTCAGACAGGCAGCAAATAGCAGAGGAGAAATTCAAGCTTAGGTCTTCAAGAACTTTCCACAATAACCAAAACAAACTGTATTTCTGTTAATAATTTTGAATTAAAGCCATAGTAATCATCATTTCAGGATTAAAAAAGACTTTAAATCACAAGGCACTGTCACTAGACAATTAGATACAAAATACTTTGGCACTTATTAATAGATACTTTATAAAGATACTATTAAGTATTAACAGATAAATACCTGTATATATATATATATAT